ATGAGGAATACTTGACATTGAACCTCCAAGCGCAGTAGGGTAGCGGAAAATCCTCTCCTAACAACGAAAACCGTAAGCTGAATTGACGCTCAACCTCCGGTGGGTTCAAAAAGCGCATTCCAAACACTGCCCAGGTGATGCGCAGGGCTCTTGCCGTGAAAGACCCAGGGCTTTCGAGTCACTTTGATTACGACCTCCGTTGATTGGTGATTGATTCCGATCCGGCCGTTCTCCGGCCCAACCGAGCTGGGGGGGAATGTCGTAACGGGCACACACAACGCATTTCTGACGACAGACTACGGTGCACGATATCGTTTTGCAGAGTCTTTGGACAACCGTCAAGTCCTATACTCTCCGCTGCACTTTCGACCGAAGTTTCGAAGTCCGCTCAAGTCCCGTACCGTCTCCGGCGGCCAAGCGAGGAATGACATGGGGATATGGCAAAACGCTTCCCCACGTCAGGGCACTGCGCCGCAGCCGTTCTTTCTCGCTGCTCCTGCCAAGCTGTAGAGCATTCCGGTCGGATCCGTCCAAGCCCGCCGGCATCCCCAGAAAGGACACACAACTCACCGGTCACGAGAACTACGACGCACGGCATTGCGCAGCAGCCGTTCTCTCGTTGCTCCTCATAAACCGTAAAGCATTCCAGTCAAATTCCGATCAAGCGCACCGGAATGTCAGAAAGCAGGAACAACTCCCCCTTTACCAGAGCTCTGACGCACGGCATCGCGCCGCCGCCGTTTCTTCTCGCTGCTCCTTCTCAGTCCAGGAGCATTCCGGTCCAATTCTTGCCAAGCGCACCGGAATGTCGGAAAGGACAAATCACTCACCGGTAACAAGAACCACGACGCACGGCATCGCGCCACACACTTTCCGGACCACCGCAGGATCCGTTCCGTTCAGCTCCAGCTTCGGATCGTCCCCGTAATACTCGGCGTACGGGTTCTCGCCCACGACCACGATTCCGACGTCCGCCGGCGGAACCGTTCCGTTGACGTCCTTGTCGTACACAACGGAACTGCTGTTGGAGACGGCGGACTTGACCGCTTGAAGTATCGTGGTTCCTGTCGGTGCGAAAGGGAGTCGGATTTTAAGAGCCAGGAACCAGACAGGTTGGTCTCCCCAAGGATTCGGCTTGGAGCTTGCCACTTCATTAAAGCTGTGGCAAGTTTCCTCAGAATCCTGGGATATCCACTTTCATGAGCATTCGGAGAAAAAGTGAACATCGAATAAGGATCTGCGGGGCCACATTCGGAGGCCTTCCTTTGTCACGGATCGAATGAGGTATGAAGGAGAGCATGAAATGTAGAGCGCAAGTGGTGCGTCGATGCACAGATTGGAGGAGTCACGGGTTTCCAGGAAACAGGTTCATAGTCTCTTCTTTAGTGTTCGAGTACAAAGCCGGCGTTAAGTGAATGCCCGTGCAAATAGATACATGACAACAAAGGACCGCACCATAAACCGTCCGTTGATTTCAATCGATTGCGCGCTCTGCCGAAACGGCGCCTCCTGTTTTGACCCCAACTCTTCAACTAAGAAGAAACATCCGCAGAAGAAGTTGAAGTATAACAGGGGAACTGCTTACCAGGTACTGTGTTTCCGCTCGCCCCTTGCCACGTCAGCGTCCAGCCTCCGCACTGCCTTCCGATATCGTCGGCGCTTCTCCCCGCCACCAAAGTCTTCACTCCATCTTTCCTGAGCGGCAAGACCCGCTCGCTCCCCGCTGTTCCGTTCGTTCCGTTCCGCTCCGTCCTCATTCCATTCTTCAGAAGGACAACGGACTGGCGGACGGCCTCGCGCGCCAGCTGGCGGTGGGTGCCCACTTGGGAGAGGAGCGTGCGGTTTGCAAAGGCGTGCTCGAAAAGGCCCACTTTTACCTGCGGTTTGAAACCCATACATTCGTAAAAGGCGTTTAAGGGACTGTATCCGCAATCTGCTTCTGACCCATGGTTTTGTGATATAAGGACTGCGATGAAATGAAACGCGTTTCTTTCTCTGTGTCATGTTCCCCTGCCGCTAGTTGCTAGTTTGCTAGGACGATCTCGTAACGGCAGGGATATGCAAAGACTTCTTGCATTCGTTGAGCGGATTGGAGTATCTCAGAACTTCCAGAAGTCCGCAAGTCCAACATCCAAACTTCTCCCGAGTGGTCTTGCATAGACGAACCTGACTGGAGCAAGGATTCCGGGGACATCTACTCGAGCCAAATAGTCCAACCATAAAGTCCTCAAGCATCAGTACGTTCGGAAATACTCGATGTGCTCGTGTAGATTCGTAAAGGAGCGCAAAGTGACCAACCAGCGACAAGCGGGTGTCACATTCTGCACTTTGATCTGCGAGTTTGTCAACATTACAGTTCCACTAGCCGACAATGAGGTGCCGCCAGTCCTTTCAGGGCCGCCGAGCTCGAAAGCAAAAGGCCAGCATATCTTCGATATGCTTACCAGCACCTCTTTAATACAGCAGTCCATGCTGGTCACGAGGGAAGTGCCATCACGCCAGCTTGAACTTCTCAAAGCAGCGGCAGTCTGCTCGTTCAAAGCTTTTGAAGTAAACCTTTGTACGAACGTTGCAGAACATGCAGTCCCACCTTCGCTCTAAGAATCCGCTTGACCGCGTCGTCTATCCTCGCGTCCGACACGTGTCCGCCCTTGACCCCCGCGATGAGGTCACGGATGACGTCTTGCAACCGCTCCCTGTCGCCCATCATTACCATGTCGACACCCGCATTTATTGAGTCGTAAAGCCGCAAGGCGTCCGTGCTCTGCGGTAGCTGGTTGATGGCGCCCCAATCTGACACCAGAAAACCCTGCCACACCGAACAACGAACGAAGTGCGAAAAGAGTGTCAGCATTCGGGCGCCGGCTTAAACTAGCTGCAGCGGCCAGTCAATTGCTTTTGGGATTGACCCCCGACATTTGTTTCAATCCAATCCAGAAGATGTTCCAAAAAGATGGTGTCAGATCGGATTGACACAAGGCACTCGCGATGCACGGCAAATGTCGTCGGCCTCCTTTCCGTTCCTGATCGGCCTCAAGGTAAGCCCTTTAAGAGGCTTTTTCCAATGACCGAGCCTCTTTCCAATGACCGGAAGCCATACTTCGAACCTTAGCTCCCTCTTAAGTGGGTCCGTTAGCAAGACCTTATTCGCGTGCAGCTTGGTCCCGGTTCCACATTACCGATGCATACCGTGTCGAGCATGAATCTAGTCAAAACTTCCAAGCACATAGAAGCGAACTCAAACAATGTACCTTCCATCCAAGCTCTTGCTAAAAGGTCCGTCAGCAAGTGCTTGTGCACGTGGATCTTGCTTCCATTCCAGCTTCCACGCAATCTCTTTCCCGACTCCGGTTACAGTCATAAGATAAAGAAAGAAGCCAGATCACGCAACATACTTAAATCCAAGCTCCGTTTTCAGTAGATCCGTCAGCAAGTGCTTATTCGCGTGCATCTTAACTCCGTTCCAGCTTACACGCGAATCTCAGCCGAACCTGGTTGAGAAGCTAACGGTGAAAAAGCCGAAGCGGGCAACGTACCTTCAACCCAAGCTCTTCTTTCAGTAGGTCCGTCAGCAAGTGCTTACCCGCGTACATCGTGTGTCCGTTTCAGCTTACAAACAATTTCCAACGACGAACGTGGCAGATAACATCAGGGAAGAGAAAAGCCGAAGCGCGCAACGTACCTTGAACCCAAGCTCCTTTTTCAGTAGGTCTGTCAACAAGTGCTTATTCGCGTGCATCTTGATTCCGTTCCAGCTGCTGTACGACGGCATGATCGACAGTACGTTGCGCTTCACGGCCTCGATGTAGGGGGGGAGGAAGAGGCGACGAAGGTCGGCGTCGCTGCCTTTTGCGTCCCCCTAGAAAGAGAAAGTCCACTTTGGAGCTCATGTCATTGTGTGAGGTGCGCCGATCTTGGTTCGATTCGCAAAAGACTTGCACTTCAGAAGTAGGTAGCAATGTGTAACGAGACCCGATCCAAAGCCTCGGCCATCGCAAGTGCGCGTATTATTGTCTAAAAGAGAGTTCATTTCAAAAGCCAATTTCCAGCTGCAAGAAGCGAACATCGCAGCCGACCAGATCGTTTTTAACTGGTAAGCCCGATGCATGTGCAGTGCCGTTGATCTCGATCTCGCACGCAGGCTATGCGTACAAATGCACAGGCAAACGAGCCAATACTGCCATCAAAACACCCTTATGTGAGGGGTGTATCCGTCTCAAAGTCTACAGAAACAATTGTGGCCACCAGACTAAAAAGCTCATACCTCGTCCTTCCCTTTAGTGGTACCTCCGTCCGCAAGGAAATGCTTGGCGGTGGCGGCAACAAAATCCGCGGGGCCGGAGAGCGAGCCCTGCAACCCGTCGATGAGGGCCCCGCCCAGAGCGGTGACCAGAGCCGTGTCGTCGCTATAGCTGCAGAGAGATTGCAAGCTTTTCAAAAACAGGGCCTTTTGCAACCTCGTTTGTCAAGGAAGCTGGTAAGATAGTTGGAGATCGAGAAGAGCTCAAAAGTTTGGGGTGTTGAAAGGTGCTCAGAGAGTTTGAGAGCAGCTCGGGACAAGGCATGTCTGAAGCTGCAATACAGGAAATTTCCATAATTGGTGCTGCAGTCGATTGTCCTGCAAATGAAAGCGCTGTGGTAAGCCGAATACTAGACGGGATCCGAGGTGATGGAAGATCTGGCGATCTAAAGCATGGAGGGTGATGCATAAATTCCAGTACAACCAAGGCAAAGCAGGAGGTTTGATCAAAGTCCTGCTTGACGCAACAGCGTTGAGCTTTTCATAGCAGGAAAGAGCAGCGACAACCGACGAGCCCTTCAGAAGCCGAACCCTGGATAATTCCGCAGCGGACTTCTTTTTTGGAAATCCAGACTACACCTTATTCGCATTCTACACGTGCAGAGCTGAATTGTCGAGCTGGCAGACGAAAAGGAACAAAAGCGGACTAAGCCTGCGACGGAAGGATTGATCTACTAACGGACGCTTTTTTTGCACAGTAAGCGACAGTCCGTTGTCAAGGCTCAACATCGCTTGAGCTGCATATCTGACGGCCCACGTTCCGCACACAGCGTCCGAAAGACCGCTTAATAAAGAGTTTACCCCATGACTCTCAAGGTCCATGAGTCAGAAGGTCGATCCCGTCGCCAGAAGGTCTTGGGATTTTGGGAAGCGGTGAGTTGGATTACGGAAACGCGTAGATTTTGAGTTCAGGGTGGAACGGGTCGGTGATGCTTTCCCCATCACGCTCCCTTTTTCTCCGACTTCGAGACGTGACACACGTCCTGAAAATTCTACGCGAGCCCGATAAAACCACACCATCACAATGACGTTCTGCCTTTCGTCCGTCCCGAATGCTTCAAACACCAAGTCACGTAACGTTTCTTGCGAGGCCTACCTTTCGTAGCATCTTCCCCACCGGGGGTCCCGACAAACAGCAACGCAAGGGGCAAAGGTCCAAGGGATCCCCGTCGCTCGTACTTCCAAAGCGGTCGCCCGACCAATCTGAAACAAAGAATAATCTGATGGTTAAGCATTGTGATGAGTGACCATTGAGCGCTTCCAGTCTAGAAAAGCTAGACTGGAGAGCCAAACAATGCAGGGCTAATTGTCAGTTCGAAACTATGTCCCATTGGCTAACGAGTTGGTGATACGTCGACAGCAGATGAGAGAGAGGCTATTTGCGATCCCGGGACCAACCAAGTGGAACCAAACAGGTTGGGAGTCTCGTTTGAGAAAAGGACGGCAATCTCCATCACAACACATTTGTGAGAACGCACAAACTCATCAGCAATCCTACGCAGCGTGCTTCTGTTTGTTGCTCGGGTGGACAGGAAAGCACAGCATCCACATTCCATTCTGGATACCGACGCAAAATTTTCCAACTGCACTCATCAGGCCCGCGAACCTGACAAGATACTCGAATCTATGTGCAAAAAAGAGAAGTCGCTCCCACCATTCCTACAAGGGAGGCGTTCCTCGTCGCTCCCAGGCCGACGTTGTGCGGGAAGATAGTCGCGCCATAGACGGTATTGTGGCCGTGAATCGCATCGATGCCGTAGATCATGGGTATGCGCAGCCGCGTTTTCAAGCTCGCTCTCTGCAAATTATTGAAAGGGTTCGTTCTTTCGACCTGCGGACCCACTTGGTCGAGAAAGGAAGCATTCGGGACGTTTCAAGATTTGTTCTTTGCCTTCCGTCGAGGGCTCGAAGTAGAAAGTCTACTTGCTATGGATCAGGGACGCAGACAGCGTCTCTCCTAGCTCGCTCATAGCAGTTCGTCGAAATTTTTGAACGTTACTCAAGGCTGCATTTGGGCCGTATACCAGAATCATTCCGTTGGTCGAAGCTGGCCTTAAGCTTAACAATTGGTATTCTGCCTAGATCTGACGATCTCGAGGTATTAGAAGATGCTCGCTGGGTATCGATTCTATAAACCGCTTGCTCCCACTCTTCTTCGAATCCCTGTTTTAACCTACGACTTACGATGTTGTCGTGATGTTATTGAGCTCTTAAAGCTCGTGAACGTATTCCAAGGTACAAAAAGGTTCCTGGGGATTGCTCGATGGCTATCATAAGCAAACGGTCGGATCAAGTAGTTCTGAGTCCACGATCGTCAGACAATTCGAAAGCTATAGCGGAGCTTATCAACATACCACACACCGTCCTTGTAGTTGTGTGCTTCCTTTCACCCACGACAGCAAGAAGCACTGGAGCGGGCCCTCTGAATAATACAGGAAGAGTCCTCCTCAACACACAGGCCGAGTATCGATTGAAGATACCAATTTCTTCAAAGCTGACGTCCACTGAGATGACTTCAATCAAAAAGTGTTTCTCCGTTTGAGTAACGACCGGAAACCGCACCTGAAACGTGTCCACCATATCGGCCCATTTGCTCGGCTCGTTTCCTTCGGAGGGCACAGAGCCGCCACCCGAAAGGACCCCGCCCAGGAAGTAATTAGTGACGTCACTGCCGTTTGGGTTGATCCAGTTTCGGGCCGGCAGCATCATTTGGCCGACCTTCTCCTCGAGGCTCATGTCGGAGCACACCATCATCTCCAGCTCGTATGGCACTGCAAAGGGACCGAATATATTTCAATATTGATCTCAAGGTACACCAGAATGCCTGTAAGCAGCTAGATGTACAGAGAATTCTTCGACCATATACTCCATCAATCTGTGCGGCTTCCAATGAGATGAGACATTTGAAAGACTTGATCTGGTAGAGAGTCGATTCGGTGGATTCGTTCAAGATTTCAACCCCGTTCTTTGAGCGAAAGACTCTCATCACTGACTCATTGCAAAGAACGTCGGGATTACTCGGTCTATACAGTTGGAGACCGAAACAACCAGATCGATGATAAGATCGGAAGAATGAATGGCAGCAGATCAACAGCTCCCAAGTTTCTGCAACTTTCAACTGACTGTCTGACTCATAAAAGGTTGAGAATGTGGCTCCCTAAAGAACATTGCAAATCCTGCGACCCGCTCCAATCAAAAGCTTCAATCATCTACACAGTACTTTATATTGGACAAAGCTTCCATTGATGACCCTTCAAGGTAGAGACACGCAATTTGAGGACGAAAGATACATGAACCACATATTAAACCCACCCGGAAACTGCCCTTTCCCCTTGACTTTCAGTGCTGTTTCACAAAAAAAGCGACTATCAGACGAGGTCAGAAGTTTGACCGAACAACTAAACTTTTTTGAGAAACTACTCACGGTCGTAAGCCCCAGTTACGCAGTTCTGTGCAGTCTTGTGCAGATTACTAGACGTCCCCCCCCCCAGCAGGTTCCACACAAGAACGATGAGCAGGACTGGGACGATGAGCGCCACCAGGAGCTTCGTTCGCTTCTTCTCCATCTCCTTCCTGTAAGGGGGGGGTGGCGGTGATTTAACATGACGTCAGCTCGGCAGTGGTGCCATGGAACGGGCCCCGCTCAAGGCGTAAGTGCAGCTCAGCAGTTCGATCCATATTGAAGCTCTTCCGTTGATTTTCTGCCTGAGAATCTGCACCCTCTTGTGTTGGGAGACTGAAGTAACTGATTGCGGACTCCAGTTTCTCAACGGAAACTTCAACTCCAGTTTCTCAATGGAAACTTCAACTCGAGCTCAGCCCGAGATCAATTTTGGTGACCGTTTCTGCTGAAACTTCAGCAAAGGCTTGAGTTTCCTTACTCATCAGAAAACTGAAAAGACCCACCAGTGGCAGAAGACAATAGGGCTGAGGGAAGGAAGAAGCTGTTTCCTGTAGTCAACATGTCAACCGGAAATAGGTAGCAAGGGTTTCCAAGGGGATCCCCTTGGAATGAAAGAGACTCCTCCTTGCTTTGCATTTTTAAAGCTGTTTGGAAGTGATTCTCAGATGGATTCTGCTGGTCGTCAATAGATTGATTGAGACGGATGACCCCACCGAGTTTTGCAGATCGAAAAGAAAAGGTTTTTGGGAACCCTAATTCTTGCATGCAAGTGGATCGGAGTCGGTTGAAAGATTGCAAGGAGAGGAGAATAAGCTTATCTAGTAAAGGCTAATCAAGATTGATCCGCGCTTCCAGGCCACCAAGTAGCTACAGCTCTGAGACAGCTCTGAGTCTTTCATAACATAGTCGCAAGCTAGTCATGGCCCGTTCTGATGAAGAGGTTCGTGCCTGTCACGGCTGAATCAGAGCTGGTCGAGAAGCAAAGAGAATAATGGAAGACAAAAGAAATGATATGATGAATTTGAAGGCACACCGGTATTGTTGCTGGACCAGGGAGGTGACTTGAATCGGCTCTGCTCTGAGCTGCTGAATGGCCTCCTCTTCTGAAGCGAGAAGCCCCGCCTCTTCATTGGCGTCATCGTCGTCAAGATCCCAGCCCTCGTCCCACGTCTCCGCTTCCTTCGAAGGAGCCATGACGTCTCACTCCACCCTTTACAACAGTTCTTGAAGAAATTGGCGCCCAATTTTAGCTGCCATCGCCTTCAAAAACTGGCTGGAATTTTGCGAGGAGGAGCAGCTCGAAGGCAGCTCAAAAGCACTTGGGTCAAACCCTAGCCTTGAGGTTCCCGAGGCAAACCCTAAAGCTGCTGGCACCAGGCCAAAGCTTAGGATTTTATATAGGGTTTTGACATTGCTGCTGCTTGTTATTGTGCACGATCTCGTTGTTCAGTGCACATTGCGTTGCGATTCCACCCGTTCAAAATCGCACGGTTCACGCAAGCGAAGTTGAAGAGCCGTCCGATGACTCGGCCTCTGGAGGATCCAACGGGCCAGCGCGGACATGTGCGCCGCCATCTTCGCGCCTTGCCCCAAAAGAAGTTTGCCCGCAAAGTTTGCGCCAGCCTGCTTTCAACGCAGTTCGCAGAGACTGAAGAAGAGGGGGGGCGCCCTGGCAGGGCTGTCGCTCTAGAGGCGTAGCAGAAAGCTGTGGCATGCAGAAGCTGGTTAAGTAGAGCAAGCTGCCGGATTTCAAAACGAAGAGGGCATTCCAAGGAGAGAGAGGTGTTCCTTTGCCGCAGAGAAGAAGGGGTTTCGCCGGTGCATTTCAGCTGTCGAGAATTGCAGGGGCAAGGGAACGGAGCCGTCTTGGAGCATCCTTGATTGTTGCATGAAAGGAGCAAGAGGTGGTGTTGATATGTCTCAGTTTTTAAGCGGTAGCCGCGTTTGGGGGAATGCTGGAGAAAGGGTCAGCGACTGACAGAAAGCTGCCAGCCATAGGTGGAGCCCTCGATCCTGCAAAGCCGGTTGTTGTTTCTGTTGGCGGAAGAACAAGGCTCTGAAAGTTAGGCAAGCGCTTGGGGCAGAGTTCCAAAGCGGCGGGTCTCCCAATTAAATTCCAGCCTGGTACAATGGCATTTTGCGGGCCAGGTTTCTAAGGTGTACTAGGAACAGAGAGCTTGTTTGTGAGCAGCGATGGCGTCAGAAGTGTCAGAGCCCGACACGCCGAGGACTCCTGCGTCAGGAAGCAGGCGCGCCCAGAAAGTGCAGCAGATCTTTAACAAGTTTGACCGGAACAAAGATGGGGCGCTCAGCAAAGAGGAGATGGCAAACCTGGTCATCGCTGTCAACCCGAGGGTCAAGTTCAGCGAGGATCAAATCAAGGCCATCCTGGATGAGGTATGTCGGTCCCTAATGTCTTTTTTGGTTCTCTTTGCTGGGAACCATGCAATGCTGGTTAAGAACTGTGGCATATTACTTTCTTGGTAGATTGCGGTGGTGTCTTCTTCCCGAGCTCTGTGACATGCAGCTGTTCTCACCCCAAGACATAAAATCTTGTCTCCTCCGTGCGTCTGAAAGTCCGGTGGGTGATAAAAATGTCAACCAAGTGCAGTGCCTCTCAGGAGGCGTCAGCTGGCCACCATCATTCCTTTGCTATGTTCTTGCCCCTTTCATTCTACTTTCAACTGTTCGCACTTGGTCGAATTTACCCCGCGCTCTTCTTTTTTCATGTTTTCCAAATGTTTGCAGACAATCTACTATCGTTGCTTGATACTTCAGAATGTGACCCATTATGGTCGTCTGCCTCCGATGTACCTACCATAAACTTCTCTTCTATCCTCCGGCGCATATTGGAAACTCTGAAAAGGATTCTGGCGGTTCAAACTTGTTAGGTGCCAATTGCAGCAGCTTCAAGTTGGCAGTGCAAAATGCATTGTACGGGCTGTCCTTACAAGGTTCCCTACAGGCACACCACATGCAAACAGTTCCACTAGCAACATTGTAATGAAGTACTATACGGTGCATGGGTTTCAAAACAGAACCTCTTGTTAGACATAATTGAAAGAAGTCTTTCTCCACAGGAAGGCAGTATTCAGTTATCATCTTTATGTCATGGTATTGGTCAGGAGTGTGTATGTCGGAAAGGCAGGTCTGATGGTGGTTGTCTTTGCCCAGGTTTCTAGATGTGACAGTTTACCACCCCATACCCTGCCCCTCTGTAGATATGCAAAGTGGCCAGAAGAGGAGATATCAGGACGCAACATTTGTCATTTTTCTCACACGAAGGGCGTGTATCTCGATGATTCTACAATGATCGTTTGGGTTTCACAGAAACAAGTACTGAGCAGCTTTGAGTTGCAAGGGGAAGTAACGTTTACAGCTCTAAGTGGGGTGGTAGGAAGGACTGGAGATTGTTTAACACGCCCTCCAAGTTTATTTTGGGGCGGACTCTAAAGTCTGCTGTTTCTGGTCACAGATTTCCCAGGCAAAAGGCTATTAAAGCGGTGTTGAGACCTACAAGCCTGGAATGGACCCTCCTTTGGGAAGGCAATAACCATTCGCAAGTCCTTAAAGGACCTGGTCCAAGCAGACCAGAGATGCCTGCGGTTTGGAAAAACCGCACGCAGGCTGTTGGTCACAGCATCGGTGCCGCTCTTGACATTCTGTCCAACCTTCCGTGTACCTGAACGAGGGCTGATTCTGGACAACTTTGGACAATCTCGGTGGTTGTCGAGTTCTGTTAAACAATCACGAAAGCGCAACAGAATCATCAGGTTAAGGAAATAAGGCAACGACTTCAACTTGCTGATGACGCTTCTGTTTTCAGGTGTTCCGTACGTACGGGGAGTTCATCATCCCCGAGCGGGGCCTCAGCCTGGACGGCCTCAAGCGCACGTACGACGATGGAGCGGGTGACGTCGACCGCGACTTTGAAGCGCTCAATCTGCAGATGGGCAGCATCGTGGGGGGCTTTGACACCAAGAAGAAGCCGCCCCAGTCCATGATGACCGACTTCAAGGTGTGTGTCGCCTGTAGCAACACGTCTGTCAAAAAGGTCCTGTCAAGTCCGATGGCTTTGACAGCTGACACGTCTCATGGTTTTCAAAAAGTATATAGAGTGCCTCGGCTTCCTGCGGTCAAATCTTGGCTAGGAGACGATTACAGGCCCCGAACTGTTAAACCCGGGGGCTCTTGGCCCTCGCTTTCTGCTTCTCAAAATATTCAGGTTGAGTGAAAGAGACTTGAGTCGATTTGGTGCTTCTAGCATCACGCCATTGGCCGGTTTCAAAGATTCCGGCGAACGAGCAAACAAGCAAGCTGCTGGTTCAAGTCTACTCCTGTGACTGGAACAAAGAGACGAACAACAACAATATCAGTAAGCAGCAGAACATCTGGAGAGAAGCAAGCAAACCAAACCAAACGGACAAACGTTCTCTCTCTCGCAGATTGACATTGAAGACGGAGACGGCCCAGCCCACGAGCAGACGCGCAAGCTGCTGGAAGACTTGCAGCTGCTCCTGCGGAGGCACAAGGTGTCGAGGCCGCACTACGGGGAGAGTGTCAAGGCACAGGCAGGCTTGGATCCCAAGGAGCTCGCGCGGGGGCTCGTGGAGCTGCGGAAACGGGCGGACCGTTTCACGCCCCTCGACGAGGCGTTCAGGTGTGTTCCGGAATGGTTGCCTCCCTTATTGACATGACATGTTCAAAAAAGGCATTTTAATTCGTGATCCTATTGGCCGAAACCCTTACCGGGTTGACCGCGTTGACCGAGATCGAAACTTGAGCGACTAACCCCCTACTAACCTCAGCAGATTTCCTGCTTCGAAAGCGAGAATCCATTAACCTCATACTGAAACCTTCTTGCAAAACTTCCAAGGGGGAGGACATTCTAGTTGTTGGTGGTACCTTGCTGAAAGCTGAGAGTCAACACCAACGTCGAAGTTGCAGTTTCATCCTTGACGTTAGACGATGAATCACCTTAGGACGAATAAAGCTCAGGCGAGAACCAGTTCCGCTGGTCGTTCAACATCCTTTGAAACTGCGCCGTTGTTCAAATAAGATGTTCCACTGAAGGAACGGCGCCTTATGCATATGAGATGCCAAGCTCGTTGGTTGATTGACCCCAGTGCGGCTAACGATCACCGTAAACCAGTCTGCAGCTTCTGGGACTGGCTAAGTCTCCCTGCATCCTGATAATGTCAATCAATGCTCTCCAGGGCACATATGGCGATGGGCCAGATGCTGGCGCAGCACGAGAAGCACGGCGAGGCGATCACGAGCTTCGTGAAGGCGACTAACCTGAAGCTGGACGATGTCCTTGCGCACTTCCGCACGGGCAACTCGTACTACGCCATCAATGCGATCACCGAGGCGCAGTCGTCGTACGAGCGGGCGCTGCAGGGGGAACGGAATACTCCGGGAGAGGCGTCGAAAGATCTTCTAGCGCAGGTGAGGCGTGCACTGAATCTCTGAACATCTCACGAAGAAGCTTTTGGTGCGCGAGCACTACCAAGACGCTGTGTGCGTCAAGTTGAAATCCACTCCTAAACTAATGAAGACGCAAATACGCTTTGGTGAAGACAAAAAGAGGCTGTGGACTCGAGAGTCTTTGTTCCCCCAAAATGTGCACACGAACCTGAGCACCGTGCTCGAGTCGCAGGGCCTCCTCGTTACCAAGATGCTGCGCGCCTCAATTAAATTACGAATAAAAGCTGATGAGGACGGAATACAAACCCTAAACATTACTAAATTCCCCCGCACAGGTGCACACGAACCTGGGCATCGTGCTCGAGTCGCAGGGCCTCCTCTTCGCCGCGCGCGAGCACTACCAAGACGCTGCGCGCCTCAACCAGAAGCACTTCCGCGTGCTGAAGCTCCTCAGCGGCGCGCAGCTCGCGCTCGGCGATCTCAAAGACGCCAAAGACTCGCTCGAGCACTCCCTCTACCTAAACGCGGACTTTGCCGACGCGCACGTCGAGCTGGCGTCGGTTTTGCACCAAATGGGCGACCATAGGGCGGCGAAGATGGAGATGACGGACGCCCTGAAGCTGGCCCCGGGCGACATTGACGTGAAGTACAACTACGGGAATTTGTTGCGGGACATGGGCGACTTCAAGGGGGCGGAGAAGATGTACCGGGAGGTGAGGAAAACTTGGAAAAGCTTATGCAAGTGACCCTACTTCGGTTTCCAAAAGAAGGGCCTCTAAAATCTGGAGAAGCTGGAAACATAGGGAAGAACGAGTATGGTGTTCAGAGGAACGAAAAAGGAACGAGACAGTTTTCGTGAAAAGGCCTGCTGAGATCTCCATTTACGTGTGCACTAAGGACGAGTGCAGAGATCGCAAGACTGTAGAAGAGCCAGTGAAAAGAAGCGTAACTATCTGTTCAAGTCGAACCCGCTGTCTTCCCAAGCGTTTCAGAATCCCAGTAGAGCGTCTGGAGCTTAGCAGATCAGTCTAGAATGATCAGACTGGAATAGCGCCCAGAGAAGAACCCATGTCAGAAGTTCAGAGGGCTTAAAAGTGTTCGTGGTGGCTTGAAAGAGGGCGTCGTGGGGATCGGTCCCCCTTCGGCGACCAGCAAAGTGCCCGTAGAGCCAGATGGTCGCTCAGGAAAAATTCTGCGATGGATTCTGGGCCGTCGGGTGTAAATTTCCCTCAGGACTCAGATGCACGAGTGTCCCATGGAGTCTCACGCCCTCGGTTTAAGTACCCAAAAGCCGTGTGCCCTGTTGAAAGCGCGCCTGAAAGTCGTGTGGACCTGGACAATATCAAGTGCCAGCCACGGGTTCGGCCATAGTGAGATTGATCGAAGACTGTGGGTGCCAGAAGCTCGGCGGTTGGGGAAGAAGGGGAAGGATAATCGGGCCGGAGCTGTCACAAGGCATTTGCGGGCAGCAACGCGGCCGTTTGGGGGAACGTGGATGCCAATCAATTGAGGCGCTGTAGATTACCACAAGAGCAACGTGTTCGGTCTTATTCGTCAAGACCTGTTCAGAGACTCCCCGGTTTCGGATGCCTTTCTTTCTATCATTCTTGAACCCCAAAGGGCAATCTCTTTGCAGGTTCTGAAGGCCCGGCCGTCCGACTGAAAGGCCATGCTGAATCTTGCGGACGCGCTTATTGGACTCGACTCGACCGCTGATCTTCGCATCGGATAAGCTCGATTTTTGCGACTTTGAATAAATGCATAGACAAATCCTAATTCTCATGAAAACTTGATATTTCACAGGTGCTCAAAGCCCGGCCGAGCGACCGGAAGGCCATGCTGAACCTCGTGGTCGCGCTCATCGGGCTCGACTCGACCGCGGATCTCCGTGCTGCAGACGCTTAAATTTTGCAAAACTCAACAAAGCCACAGCCACATCCTAATGTTTACAAAAATTCAATATTTCGCAGGTGCTCAAAGCCCGGCCGACCGACCTGAAGGCTATGCTGAACCCGGCCGTCGCACTCATCGAGCTCGACTCGACCGCCAATCTCCATACCGGAGATACTCAAAGCCCGCAGACTTCCTGAGAGCGACAGCCACATCTTTCTCACAGAAAGGTTCTCTTTACAGGTGCTCAAAGCCCGGCCGACTGACTGGAAGGCTATGCTGAACCTTGCCGTCGCGCTCATCGGGCTCGACTCGACCGCCGAGGCGCAGACAGTTCTCGTGGCGGCGCTGCATTTGGAGGAGCGCATCGAGATCCACGACACCATCGAGCACCTCAAGCGGCTCTCCCGCAAGAAGAAGAGCGCCAACGCGGCGCTCGGGGACCTGGAAATCGCGGCAGAGCCGTCCACGAGTGCAGTGAACGGGCCAGGTACGCGGTTTTCCTTGTTTGGCTTTTGAGCAATTTTTCCCCTCGTATTGTAATCATATGATTCTTAAGCGGCCTCTCGCAAGAAGAAGAGCCCCAGCGCGGCGCTGGGGGACTTGGAAATTGCGGCGGAGCCGTCCACGAGTGCAGTGAACGGTCAGGACCGCAGTTCTTCCTTGGCTTCTGAGGTATTTAACCCCTGTTTCGATACGCCTTGGTCCTGTCCGGAATGTTTGCACTGGCTTGTCTCCTGTATCAATGTAAGTGGTAGTTGGCCTTTCCAACAGAGTCATAGCCCTTTCCGGGGTCCCAATCAATGTAAGTGGTAGTTGGCCTTTCCAACAGAGTCATAGCCCTTTCCGGGGTCCCATGGTTTGGGTTTTCTGCTTACCCTTTTTTGCCACCCTCTTCAGTCCGTCACTCCAACGTCTCCTGTGCAACCGACACTATTCTCTTTTCCGGCCCTATCTAGTTTTCCGACTGATCTAACTTTTCTCCCGCGGCTCAAGAGAAGAACACTACGGTCAAGGCGCAGCTGGTTTTTGTACGTCCCCGCTCATCGTCAGTCGTCCCTTCCTCCTACCGAATCATCTCAGAAGGGGCGGCAGCTTCAATGAAGGGTGTAAATGGAGCGAGCTCACCAGCTAGCATCGTTCAATGCATAATCCAATCTCTACTTCGTTGCTGTCCAACCAAGCGCGCGAGCGACTGCAGACGCCTGCTTTGCTATGCTCCCTGCAGACAAGCACACTGCAACCGGCGCACTTGGCCCGCCCGTGGCTTCTCCAGCACGTTCAACCGGGCCAACTTTTTGTTTCTCTTGTCTCTGTTTCCCCCTTCTCTTACAGTTGTGTTTCCCTCAAAGAAGGACACCGGAACCGATGTTTCCGAGCCCCTTCCAATGGATTTTGGAAGCCGCTTCTCGCGTATTCAAACGGTTTGCTCCATCTCTCTTCCAGACAAGGACGTTGCGCGCTCGGCCCCGCCTCTTGTTCCCCCAGCACGTTCAACCGGGCCAGCTTTTCACTTCTCTTGTCTCGGTTGTAACTATGTCGACTGTTCATATCCATTTTGAACATTTTTGCCTCGTCTTTTCCCACAGACAAGGACATCGCGAACGGCGAACTCGGCCCTGCCCCCGGTTTCTCCAGCACGTTCAACCAGGCCAACGGGACCACTCCTTCACCGGTGGACCTCTCCCAGGCGCTCGAGATCCGGGCGTTCCAGCGCGCCAGCCACCTCGACCGGGTGGCCCCCCGGGACATCTTGCGGGAGTCGACGCCAGCGCTCCAACAAGTAAGTCGTCGTTTGGTCTCATGGATGCCCGCAAGTCATTAATTAAGCCTCTCCTGAGTTCCGTAAGCCGTTGGCCGTCAGCCGGCAGATGGTTTGCCACGAACAGGTTTATTATGATATTTGGTAAGGCGTGTACACATGGATTTGGTAAGGCGTGTACACGTGGACTTGGTAAGGCGTGTACACGTGACAATGTAAGGAGCTGAAATAAGCGAGCCAATCTTGCGAGTTCCTGACTTCTAGTCGGAAGTCATATCCAAGGCGCTAGTTTGTGTCTGGAACCCGTGCAATATTCGATCCGGTATCCGAAACTAACAATTTTCTCTTCACAATCAGAATCTTCGTCTGCTACTTGCTCGCCTCAAGCAGCATTCAGCTGGCTATCAGCTTTGGGATGCGCATCGAGCTGAAGCCTTGACTCTGTCGCTGACGTCATGCGTCTCGTACCTGACGACGTCACCCTTTTTCCCCGCAGCCCATGACCAAGGCGCAGGCGGAGCTGGTCTTCCAGCGCATCCTCCACTCCCTCTCTCCCGAGCGCTTCCCCCTCATGTTCCCCCTCGCGATGCGCGCCTTCAACTCGACGGTCCTCACGCCGCTGGAAACCAAGCGAGACTCCGTTGACCTCGGGATCGTTCTCGCAATCGCGAGCCTGCTCGCGGCGGAAGGGCCCGCGAGCGAGCGCAAGCAGGTGGCGTTCAAGGTGCTCGTGCACCGGTCGGGCCGGCAGGGCGACCAGGTGAGGGGCCGGAGGCTTGCTCTGGTCGCCACGATATGCTGTTGACGGACGGAACTTTATCGGTTGCAAAGCGTCAGCCTTTCTTTCTGCCTTCCTGCTCTCAAATTAAGTTCTGTTATGAAACCGTCGGCGCCTTCTAGCACAGGTCTCTGCAAGCGTGTTCTCTCCTGATTGGGTCGCTTGACAGTACTTGCCCCTCGTTTAGGAGGGGACCTTTTATATACCTGTTCATGACTTTGCATCCAAATCAAGCTTTCTTCTCGAGTTGTGAGCCAACGAGGAACCAACTGTGACTGTCACGCAAGCCTTTGACGTGTTGTCGAAACGGGTTTTTACCTCATCCCTTCCCTTCACTTCATCGCGGCCCCTGACGAGGGCGTCACGCAAGCCTCTGATGCGTTCTCACATCCTTCCAACCCCATCGCTTCCGCGTTTGCCTCAGGTTCCGCAAGCTGACGTGTACGAGTTCCTGCGGTCTCTGCGCACGGTGCTCCTGCCCGGTTCACCTCTCCCGGGCGACGGGAAGGAGATGGGCGAAGTGCTTCTCGGCTTCAGGGAGTTTGAGGCACTGCTCAATAACCCCCAGTGCGGGCTCGGGGTTTACGAACTGTTGCTCCGGCTAGAAAAGCCGGACAAGCGCCACAATGCGTTCTGCGCGGTTGACGAGAAGCGGATTGTTGGGATGCGGTTCAAGGAAGTGAACTTGAACTTCAATCTGTGCAGCCAGAGTTACTGCGAGGGGAAAGTGCCCAAGGAGTTCCAAGACCAGTCGAGCTTTACGTTTAAGGTGCTAGAGTAAGAGTCTAGGAGGTGTGGGCGTTGCGGATTATGTAGGATCAGATATAACTTATTCTTGAGGGTAGGGATACGATTCGTTAGTCGAGAATCGGGCGAGCGCCCAGTCTTTCGCTTTGGTCACGCTCCGTCTCGCATCCAATTCCGCGTGGTGCAACAAGACGTAAATAAGATAGCCTGTAAAGAGCTACCACGTTCGTGTGAGTACATTGTGTCAAACCGGGCTTTGAGTCGGTCCTTCTTGAGCTTCTTCAGACATGACCCTCGTTGAGATTGTCAGCATGCGAGTCCATCTGTGTGCATGGAAGTCCAACAGCCGGGCCCCTGTGACATCTGCCTCACCCAGTGATCTTATGAAAGACGCGCATGTGGTCGCCGCCGCAGTTTCTTCAGTTTAGCATGCTGGTTCAATCGGCAAATCAGTGCATGCCCAAGTCCTGCCACAGGAAAGGTCATGGTCATTGTTGAGCTAGGGAGGTAGCGCAGGCGCGGGCCCACCCGACGAGCTTCATGATCTCTTTAAATTAGCTAGGTGTCTTTCAAACTGATCATGATCAGATCAGTGCATGTGCAAGTGAATGACCAGCCTGCTGGTGCGCGCCGAGGCGGCATGCGAGACTCACGAGTCAAGGCCAGTTCGACTCACATGTGCGCTCATGCATGGCGGCACACGCATCAGTGCCAGGGGTGTTTTGCATCCGCATGCAAGCTTAACTAAAACCGTTTGCGATCGTTGCATGCTTCAAAGCTTAACTTAGTAAGCTGAGTTGAGCGTGCCAGTGCCGCGCGCTGCACTGGTCCAAGTCAAGTTATCTCCACATGCCATGATGGTTCGGACGTATTTGGACCCAGGTTTACGTACGCCCGCTCTCACAGGGGCGTGCAGTTGGTGCGGGCCCGGGGTACGGTACCTTGCAGACGAACTTATCATATGGCGGCAATGATGTAGATATTATTGAACATGGGCCCGATATACTATTGAATATATATGGGCCCATCATATATGTAGTGTAACCATTTATTACTGCTATCACTTTCACTATGCGTCGGCGGCGCTGGGCAGCGCTCGATCCGCGGTAGTGCACAACATTTCGTGCGCAGTATGTACTATTTGGCATACGTATGAATCTCGTCAACGCCCTTGCGATATCATGGACTGCACTTAACATCAAACAATCGTCCACGAAGTTTGAAATCACGTTTTGGCCGCTATAGCTTGGGATACATAGGCATTGTAATGCAGTCCGATGAGCTTCAAAGCCTGGTGCAAAGTGCTCATTATTAGCCTGGCTCACTCGTGTTTGCATTGCACCAGGCTTTGAAGCTCACTGGACTGCATTACAAATGCCAGACATGCATGAGGGCGTACTGCACGCAACTGGCGGATATATCTAACTGCAACTTAAAGCCCCGCGCTGCTTCTCGAATTGACTTTGCAGATTCACCCACTTTCAAGTGGATTGGGACATCTCTCGTGCATCTACTTTCTTAATATAAAAGCATTCAGCAAGACGCACTGCATACCACTTGATGTCAGAACGGCGCCTGGTGACAAAAGTCGTTGTGAGAACTAATGGGTCACATGTTAATAAACTTCTTTTTCTCGACCGCAGTCAGAGTAGTCTTCTACACGGACGAACGTTTGGAAGCAGAGTGTAGCTCTTGTTACCAAAACTTTCAAACACCTAATATAAATAAACACGATCGCGGTTTGTCGAAGGAAAGTTCTAACAGCGCACTGTTGATCATTTCCTCGACTTTACAGCTCAGGCTCAATCTCTATCTAACGTAGAAGAACTCCCCATCAGATATAGACGCCCAAACATTGTCTCTGCCCTCGTAGTCGAGATCGCACGCCCAAGACCGACTATCGTCTGACATTACGTCTTCGGAATCTTTTGATGCTTCTGAAACCTCTGATGTGACGGTGTCTTCTGAATCTGCTGATGCATCTGAAGCCTCTGATGCGACGTTCATATAATTATAGATTTCCAGATCGAGATCGGCCCTCTGCATTACTCGTCCACTTCCCTTAAGCTTCATCTTCAAGTGACCTTCCCTTTCGTCTTTCGAAGAGACTGGCTCCAGCCGAGAAGTGAAGAGAGTCAAGCAAATCCTGTCGGGAGATCCGCCCCGAAACGCGTTCTTGAAACCGAAATCGCCCACCTCCCGCAGAGTCTCCGGGCGGTCCTGAAGCAGCAAGCCCCACAGCAAAGGTCGCCCTTTCTCCCTCAAGACGACCAGGTGTTTGCTCAGCTTATACTCCCCAGCTGAGCTGTCTTCCAATCTGCCGACCCCGATTACCGACGCATCTCCCTGCTTTTGTTCAGGGAACAAACACCCCGGCACAGCCCACCGAGCTTTCACCATCTGCTCATAGCCACCCAAAGCCAGGATCTCTGCTTCGACTTTCTCGTCTTTGCAGTAGTCCCCAGCAGAATTCGAGTCTCCGCCGAAGAAGGCGTCCTTCCAGATGCCCCGGTTACTTTCAGCCTCCCGGTGGAACGCTTCGCAGGCAAAAGTGGCGCGTAGCAGAGACCGGGGATCCTGCACCGCCAGCTTGTGAAGAACGACGGAAACGACGTCGTTTGGGAGACTCTCCATGGCAGCTCGAGAAACTTGCTGGAGGCCTTTTCTCCGCCTCTTTCCTGGTATACTTTTCCCTTTCCCCTCTTTCCTTCCTTTCTCCTTGGATAGAAAGGGAGCTTTGTGTTCTTTCGGGGGCTACGGAATTTGAAGGTCTTTGGACTTTTCCAAACGCGAAGAAGCTTGGATGCAAAAAGCTTGCGAGCTGAAGGCACTTGTTTCGACTGCAAGGGACTGGTTGAAGGAGAAAATACATAATGACTTCGAAGGCAGAGGCTGTGAATCTCGATCTAGCTGCATCATCACACGGACGTCTAGCTGGTGCACAGAACAAGAACGCAGAGAGGTGCTTAGATGAACTTCCAGGAAAGGAGGAACACGTGATGAAAGCCATGCCACCTGTCAATTCATAGAACCTGACGCTGCTAAATCCCAGTCACACCCGCATCAGCTTGAGGCGTGCCGCTGGTCGAGTTGACGTCTGGAGGTACCGGTCTTTCCTGGGACCACAAGTACTGCTATCATATTGCTGACGCTGAATGAGAGTGGCGGCCGGTGCGGCCGGCCGCGTCGGATGGCAAATCTGCCGCCCGCGCGCTTCTATATATTGGGAGGTTTTGGCGAGGTTCTCAGACATTTCAAGTTAGACGCGGCCGCGGCACGGCGCGCGCTCAAACCCTTCATTTGAATGCGCGCCGCGTGTTCCAAAATCCAAGTGCATTCCATCTTGCTCACTAGTACTTTTTCTCCATTGCCAGCGAGGAGCGCATATCAACTTCACTTCCTGTTAAGCAGCAGCAAAAACATGGAGAGCCTTCCCGGCGACGTGCTGCTAATGGTTCTCCGCAAGCTGGCGGCCCAAGATCCCCTCTCTCTGCTCCAAGCGACCCTTGTTTTAGCGCCCTTCCACCGCTGCGCATCACAGAACCCAGGCATCTGGAAGGAAGCACTGTATGGTCCAATGACTAGGCACGGCAATAGCGACTCACAGAAGTACCTAGGAAAGATAGAATACCTGGGGGCAGAAATAGACAGGCTAGGCGGCTTCAAGCAGTTTGTGATGGCTCAATTTGTGACAGAGCGCTTTCCAAGAACTCGGTCGAACACTAGAACGAAGACATTTGAAAAGGAAAGCTTTGTTCTCTCTCACTCTAGGTCATACCCCTTTTCAAGTAGAAATACGTTGACCTTGGTTCGGCTACATGGGAGCCTCATCTTCTGGGGCACGGATGCAGTACTAATTCTGCCAAGAGGAGACCAGAGTTCAGAAAGGCATCATAAGGCATGGGCTACACAATTTCTCAATCCATTGCCTGAAGCTGCCTCTTTAGAGGAATCCATGAAAGCATGGAAGATGGCAGAAGACAAAGACAGCACACAACGTCAACTTGTTGAGCTTCTCAGTGTGATCTCTGTTGAGGTATACGTCACCAATCGGGAAGGATCTGTGCGCGCCGGCGCAGGTGCAGACTATGCCGACATCTTGTACGGAGGATTTGATCCGCGCAAACAGCCGAAACTGGAAGAGCTGAGAACGAACTCTGTTGCCTGGCGGAATTTCTCTTTTCGGGGGTTCTCTTCTCCAGGTGTCCCTTCAAGCTCCTCAGCGATTGGAAGAGACTCCTTCTTGCGGGTCGAATTCGGCACGCTACGTCCACGCTTGACCTTCAATTGGGTTGACGAGAAGGAATCCCCTCTGAATTGAAGTTTTGCGCAAGGAAGCTACTAGGAGAACCGCCGGGCCTTTGGTGAATGTAGAGCCAGGGATAAGAGCAGCATAGAGGTTTCTGGTTCAAGAAAGTACTACCGTCCACCTTGCATCGCTGGTAGAATCATAGATTGCTGCCGGTAAAGATCTGACGTTTGAAATAACGTCGTAGTGAATTGTTTGTTCAGTAAGAGAATTGCCAAGAATGCTTTTCCACAAAGTTCTTGTTAGATGCGAATATGTGCGTGTAAGAAGCCCGGCACTTAATCTACAAGCTGGTATGCAAGATCGAGAAAAGATTGAGCTCTCGTTCGACGTACTGGTCGGTGCTATCTGTTTACACAACATCTGTCATGGGAGTACGAAGACAAAATTCCAAAATGGTGGAGAATCTAATCCGATGCACGACGATGCGGCGCGCAGATACTTCAGGACAAAGGGTTACCGGATTGTTTACGGGCTTTGTTGCCTAATGATTCGATTCATTTTTTGTACCATGAAAGATTTGATCGACTTTCATGAATCTTTTGACAATCTTCGTAAAGTCCACGGCTGATTCTGACCACGTACCACCCATCATGCAAGTTTTACCGTTCCTCTGCCAAGAGAATTGACGGCTCGGTTCAGTGGGCTTATGATTGGAGCGGCGATTCGCTCCGTACTGCTGTTCATGCATCGCTCTACTTCCCGACTGCGGTGAGGCAGCGTATAATGATAAGCGGTTCCGTGTAGGAATTTACCGGCCGCTGAATGTGTAACTTGACGGAATGTGTAATCTGATCTGCAAATCTTTGAAGAATTCTGAAAAAGGCCGGGTCAATCCGCTTGGAAGTATTGGAGTTAGATTCGGGCCATGTATCGACCAGACTTGACATGGTAGGGAATAGTAAAACAAGTAGCGCCTCCTCCGGACAGCATCCTTCACACGAGCTCATTCATGATGTGGCATTGGAAAATTGATACATACATACATTCTTGCAGAAAGAGAGCTGAGGGAAACTTCGACGATAATGTAGGCGGACCCGAATTGAGGCACTTACGAGAAAGGCCCCGTCCGCCTGAGTGGCATCATGCAGGCCGGCTTGATGGAGTATTGCACAACTCGGCAAGCTGTGACCTGCAAGTTTTGCAAGCGACGCAGACTTCAAGTAGACTGCCGGGTCGTAAATCGACCGGCAAGTAAAGATCTAAAAGTGCAAACGTAGTCACCACAAACATCTCTGCATCTGTCTTTCTTGGAACTGGGTTCCATGCGGTGTTTGTAGGTTGCAATGCATGGCACAGAAATGGGTTGTCTTAAACGTTTCAACAAGTATTACATCAGGAGGCGTCCCGTTTATTGGAGTCGAATCTCATGTGTGACGAGGGCTAAAGCTTGTGAAAGAGAGTGCGTTCACTAAGCGAGATTTAGGAACGAGTGGGACTGTTCAGTCATGCCCTTACTTCAGTAATACCTTTCAGCCTAGGAAACGAAGAAGTCCAGGACTCATCTCTTGATCTGAGAAAAAAGCATTCTCAGACAACACGACCATTTCCTTGCCTGGAAGTCAGGGCTTTTGGAGACGATCTCGCCATCTTTGCTGCCGCCGCTCTTGACTAGACTCTGCTTACAATACACAGGAAAGAACTTTCCGATGAAAATGTCACTGTGACCTTCCGGTAAAGCCATGGGACAAAACCACGCCTTGGCTCCGCTCTCTACCTCTTGATATGGCTTTCTAAGGGACTGATCTAGACAAGCATACATTTCCAACGATACATTTTCCACCAAGCGTCCGTCTGCTGTGAGCGCCCATGCTTCCAAGCTGTCCTTCAAATAGTCTGCATCGGACCAAAGCGGCTGAATCCGAGATGTTCTCAGGTACACAAATATCAGGCGGCCTAGATGAGGCCCCTCTGCGCTTAAGGTGGCGGCAAACCGGTCAAAGTCTCCCATTATATATTGTAGCCAGCGGCTTTCCGGTTGAAAGGCCCCATAAGAGGAGCCATAAGTGGAACATGCGTCACCAATGAGATATGTGAAGAGGTACGCGTGATTATCATTCCTACCAATTATTTAAGTGGTGGGCCAGCAATATTATTATAAGTTCTCAATATTTTGGAGCAAAGTGACCACTTTACCTCGAGAGTAGCATATTCTGAATTACGTAGGTAAAATGTCGTCTTCTTTGCCTGGCTTTTAAGAAAAGAACTTGTTAAGAAGGTACTCAAAATAAATATCCAGTCACTGGTACGTGTTTCAATTGTAGATGGTTAAAAGAAATCAATGTTAACAACTACGTCTACTTCGGAGTTAGTTAGATTACTCTTACATACTCGACTTAGTTGTTGTTCAAAAGTTGTTGAAAACAATCTCGGTTTTCCATACACGTTGGTAGCTTGCGGTGGATCACCTACCCACATATCCTGTTTCACTTACACAATCCATCTATTTTTTCTCCCCAGAAAACCGCAACCGTTGGAGCAGTAACAAGAGTCGCCTCCGCTATTGCAGAAACGAAGCATGCGGCTGCCGCACCATTGGTTGCAATTGTGGTCGCTGCGCAACTGACAATGGCTGCAGCGGATTGTAGAATTTCCTCTGCAAGAGTAAAACTCAAAGATATCGACACAAGAGGTTGTGCACGGATAGTTTTATGTTGGACACTCATTACTATTCTGCTAGCTAGTGAGAGACTTACCAGTTTGTGAATATGGAATTCAATTTGTATCGTTTTTTGCAAACTACAAAATGCATTCAAGTTGTTTCCACAGGCAGCAGTCGATGCTCCCTTGTCATATCTCCGTGCAAACATATCAACTTTCAATGACTCACTTGATTGAAGCAAAAGCTCTCCGTTGAGGTGAACACAGTCGAGCGTACTCTTGGTGCAGAACATGCCGCACTCAGTCGGGTACGTACCCGAACATGTGCCCCAACACACCGGCCCAACCCCTTAAGAACAACGGGAAAGATTGGTTAACAATCAAGTGGAGTATGCTCATTTGTGCTAGAATGTCTACAACATGCTGCGCGAAATAAGGAAGTGACAATCGGAAACAGGCAAAGAGGCAAAAGTTCAACGAAGATGCAGCTGCTTGTGCACCTTCGGTCTAGCAGTACAGTTCATTGAACTTCATTCGAAGAGTAGCTACATTAAAGACCGACCTTTGGCTCCATTGGTGCATGGTGGGTAGCACAGGGCACCGTTCTGGTCCTCATTGGAGCCGCACTGCATGGGAACGCCGGCGCCACGATTGTAGGCTGGCTTGGAACAGCCCACGCCGAAGTCACTCCAACCTCCGGGGCAGTTTGGTGAGCAAACGCAACAAGCGAAAGGGGAGAAGTTGGCTTGGCACTTGGGGTACGAGCACGTGCCCCACATTTCGCAGTTCCCAGCGCCGTTGTCGCGCTCACAATTCGCTTGAGGGTTGTTGAAGAACCAGCAGTAGCCACCACCTCGGCCGTACACAGCTGCAAAAGAGTCAAGCTGTTAAGGATTCAGAATGAACACCTTTTAGAATGTGCAAGACCAGAGACGAAGATGAGTTCACCCAGGCACATCTATACAAGTGGGCAACCAATTAAATACAAGCAGCAAGATAAGCCAGTATGGCACATGTGCAAGCACAAAAGGCCTTGGTGACTTTCCGGCCTCAAGTGCAAAAGCCAGGACATATCGCAGTTGAGAGAGCCGGTGGACAAGTACGTCTCCAACTGATTAGGGCACAGTCAACATTAACTCATGAGCTATTCGTTTCTCACAGGTTCAAGCATCACACGTGACATCGCTCAGACACATGCAAGCAAGGCAATTTCAGAGGCAATTTCAGAGGATGGATCACAAGAATCTAATGACCTGGCACTCACATGGCTTTGTGCAAGTCAGAGGCGTGTTTGCGAAACCACTTGGGCAGTTCTGGTAGCACATGAAGGCGTTTCCAGAGTAGCCACCAGGACAGTTTGCATAGCAGAGACTGTTCTCTCGGGAGGGATGGTCGGAGGGGCACGCATGAAGCGGGGAGCCGGCGCCCCGACCATAGGAATGCTTCACGCAGCCGATGAAAGCTGCAAAGGAGTTGTACAACGAGTTAAAACCTTGGCAAACGAGCCTATGCGCTGCAATGGCACCATCTGAAGGGTCGTCGCAACCTTTAAAAATTCATCAACATCATTGTCCCCAAAACCAGGAAATTCTTTGCAGTCCAAGCAGATACTGACCAGTTTTGAGTTGCCCTAAAAGTAAGGTGATGGACATCTCATCTAGAGACCTGATGACAACTGAACCACTTTCAATCAAATAAAAGTCAAGAAATAATACAGGCAAGGACGGTCAACCTTACCGGTATCTCTGTCAATGTTCCGTGCAGATGATTATATGCCATACACGAAATTCAACATCAGCAGGTCAAGCAAACCCAACTCATCTTTGCCGCGTTGATCTGATCAGGAATGATTACTGTGTACTCAGATTGACGACTTACATTGAGTAGTCGCTGGCGTTGCCGGTGCGGGGCGTTGTCGGAGCTGGGGTAATGGGGGTTGTTGACTTGGGTGGATTGGTGGTCGGGGCAGAGGTAGTCCCACCGCACACGAACTTGGCGATGCAGCATTTGCACTCACTTTTAAAGGCACTCCCAATAGGGCAGCTCCTGTAGGACGCCTGCCCGTTGCCGGTGCACTGCCAGTTTTTGGTGCAGGAGACGGATGTGTCCGCAATGTACTGTCCGGCCGCTGTGCATTGTGAGTTGGCTACCATCTGGAGCAGATTGCGCCGGGCCCCGATCTGCGAGAAGGGATTGGAAAGCTTGTCAGGTCAAAGTGGGCATTGCTGTCAGGTCAAAGTGGGCATCGAGAAGAGGATGTGCAACATGACCCGCCACAATCTGCCAGTGGTTTAAACTTCCACAAGTTGAGTCAATATCATGATGCTGTGATAGTGATAGTAAATCTCAAGGTGATCAGTTGGTCTCATCAAAATCAAATCTAAGTGCCTGCCGGGAGCTACAAGAACCAATGGATTCAATATTTAAAGCGCAGGCTTACCCGTGCAAAGCGGATACAAACATAAGATCGCAACTTGTCAGAGAAGCCAGCTTGTAGTGAACCTGAGAATTATCCAACTGCTTTTGTACTCACCCCATCAGCCAAGGTGGTCACAGACCCATTTACTGTATCTAAGACAGAGGCGCCAGTCTGGCAGAAAGCGAGAAGAAGAGCCATCGCCAGGACGAGATAGATGGTGGTAGAAGGCGCCATTGAGCCTGCAACATGGGACATTGCATAAAGAAGTTTGAATATCTTGCAGTAATAACAACAGCGCAGCAGAATGATTCAAATGTCGAACTAATTAGGGAGTGGAGTCAACACTGAATTTAAGTTTGTACAAAGCAAAGGCAGATGTTCGATGTTCCTTACCAGGCTAGTGTCCACAATGCCACAAGCTAGCGCTAGTGCTTTGTCTCAGCTTACAGAGAACGACGTCCCGGAGTCTATGAGCTGGGCGTGGAGAAAGATGACCTGAGGAATCAGCTGGTTAAAGAGGAAGAATCTCACGTTCAAGGAAGCCTCCGAATTGACCTTGATCGCCACTACTGGCGGGATGAAGGGGATGCCGGCGCCAGTGATCCGCTGAACCCTAGCTTGAAGACAGCTGATTGATGCTACCGGTAGTAGAGACTGGCTGGTGGTGGGCTGAAGGGAATGTAAAACTTGCGCTGGAGCTAATTATGATTGGGCGGATGGCAGCAAGCTGCACTAGAGTGCAGATTACTTAACTGACAGCTTCTTCAGACAAACAGACTACCGTACGCTATACTGTTACAGATCCTACCTAGACTGGCAGTACGGGTAGCAGTCTGTGATTGTCCAAGTAATTATTGATATCGTTTGGAACTGTGCTACCGGTAGCTCCGCCGACGACGACGCCGCCGGGAGGCGCACGCATCAAATTGCTTTCTAGCTCAGCCCGGCCTGATGAGTCCCAACTGATTCCTGTCCGAGTCCGGCCCTTCAAGTTGACTCCCGGTCTTGAGCTCGGCTATCCGTACGAAACGGTCGTCCTAGCTGGTCTGTCAGAGGCGTACATGCACTGCCGGACGGAGTCCTGCCGGCGTCAACTGGCAGTTGCATGTTAATCCTGGTGACCGGTTGGTACCGTGTTTCCTCTTGGACCATGCATTGAACACCAGCCGGGGGTCGGAGTCGGACGGACAATGGTCGCGTTTGATTGTTCGCACCTGGATTTATTTTTGACGCCGTCGGCGGGCCAGATTTTTTAGAATTCGACGGAAACACTGGGTTCTTTGCAGTCTCCTATTTCCGTCGTCGGACCGTTGACTGTCTGTACATCAAAATCTGCTCGGTACCCCGGGCTTTCGCAGGCGACGGAGTCCGTCGACGGACACTACTCCATTGACGGGGGATTGGGACCTACAAATCTTTCAAGGTTCCGTCGACGCCGTCGATGCCCCGTCGACGGGCCTTCTGAAATTTTAACGGAAAATAATCGACGCCGTTGCCGCCGTCAACCAGAGGTGTGTACTCTCTAGGAAGCCACACCTACCTGCCAACCCCCACCATGGCGGAAATCAGCAACTAGGGCGGAGAGCAACGATACACCTGGCAGCCATGCTCATGCGCGCGCACAAGTCACACGTATGACGTCATCTCCGCACGGCTCCGCAGGCTATCTACGCAGCGGAAGCATAACGTGGCGAGCCCCTTTGCACTCGGCACAAATCTACTGCACACATGCTCTTAAGTGTCCCATACCACTTAAGTGCAACCAGGGGCTGGCCCTGGCAGCCCGCACACAGGCTATGCAGCTATAAACGCTGGCTCTCCGCAGCCACACGTCAGTTCCCCGCACACAGCATGACGTCCCCGCATGAAATCTTATCACACTAAGCACGCTGAAATTGAGCGGAAGCAAAACACAACTGCGGGAGCCATAATAAGCTGCTCAAGACCTCAGCACAAGCGCCTATCCTAGCAACTCGTCTCCCCGCAACTCCTAGAAGAAGAATATCTCTACAAATCACACTCCTGAGCCTAAGGCAATCGAAAGTCAAGTCTCATACTAGCGGCGCGAAAGATAGAGTGTCCGGGTGCTATGCTAAACCTGGTATAAGTCCGCCTAGGCAAAGTCAGGTCACGCAAATAACACGTGCAAAGTCTAGCCCCGATTGGACAATCGCAGTACAATATCTGAGACGGCGAGAATCGAACAGCGAATCTAGTGGCGGAACGCAACCTGTCCGTATGCAATCGTGCGGCCAGGCACGCAACTAGTGCGGAGAGTCC